CATTCTAGTCCACTATCCCCCATTGTAGACACTTTAATTCCTTATTGGGTCCCTTTCTTTTTCCTTGCTTTAAGTTGTTTACTTCCTTAGGCTCACGGACTTCCTTTGTGTTCTTTCTTTCCAAGCTCGAGATCCCATTGGTTCCACTACAGTGAATTCCTAGTTTCCCTGCCATCTTTGTAACTTCAGTTACTTTCTGTTTTTCCTTTTCTTGGCATGTTGTAACTTTGGCTCCTGCTTTGGCTAGCGAAGTTTCCTTTGAACCAGAACTGTGGTTGTGAATATTGGGATTGCCCAACGGTTGGGATTGTTGGTCGCCTAAACCTGGAACACAAGGAAACAAATGGCTACAGCGAGGAGGAAAGCTACAATGATTAAAAAGACGAGTAGATTCAAGGTTTGAAAAAGAGCAAGGAAGGCCGAGGTTTGAAGAAGAGCAAGATCTGGATGAGGTTGTGTTCAAAGAGTGCGGTGAGTTTCTTCCTCGTCTGTCCTCAGGGCTTTTGTAAGTAGGAAATTGACTCCCGTACTTCGGATCAACTAAGCAAACTTCTTCTAACAAATTGACGCACCCCCCACTCCTTTCCTCCGTCAAGTAGAACTTTGGCTCTGGAAAACACTACTTCCTGTGGGTCGACCTCTGTCTCCGTCTTGTAGGAACTCATATCTTCATCTGATTCTAACTCTTCTGCTTCTTCGGAGTAGCTCGACGATGGGTACTCGAGTGTCGGTGAACGGAAGAATTCTTTCCGGCGAGATTTTGAGCTTGGGGGGGTTTCAAGGAAGTCCCGTCCGTTGTAAGTGGGAGTCGAAGAGAGGCTATGCGTGTGAGTACCTTGACGCATGCGAACATCTTGGAAGAGGTGGGTTCGGCTCTAGACAAGGCTAGGGTTCTTAGTCGGATCATCTTTGTGCTGACGTGGCTCACCCAAACCCGAAAGAAACACCTTTGTCTTTGAGCTGAACTTCCGAGCCGAGGCTTCTTTTAAAATTTGAAAAGGCTTCCTAATCCGGCTCTTTGAGCTACTCTTTCTTGCTCCTTTTCTCTTTCTATTTCCCGGTAGAGCAAAAACCCGCCTATTCTTGACTTCGCCCATCTCATCAAAACTTGCCATAGGTTTTCCTTCCTTTGCACGTAACCGACCTGCCTCAACTCCTAGTTGATCGAGGGCCATAGAACTCCCACGTGTTTGTGTATCGTTGCTCCGAGATGACTCATCGAGTTTGATATTTGACTAAGTTGTCTTCTCCACTATGACCAAAGCAAAAAACCAGACATTCCTATCGAGGATTGGTATTGATCGAGGGGTAGTGTATTCCTCAATTTTTCACCTTCAGTCGAGCCTCCCTTAACTCAGACAAGCCTTTTGTTTTGGGATCGACTTCTTCTAGTCCTCCGCACAGACTTCCTATCAGCTCAAAAACTTCCTCCTTCCACAAGTGAAACGGGAGTCCATGTATGGTGATCCATCCATCAAAGAGTAGATCTAAGGGGATAGCGTTTGCAGTTGGCCACCAATGGTTTAGATTCACCCAATTGCCGTAAATGTAGAAATTCTCCATTCTAGCCCAAGCAAAGGCTAGATCTTCAGATGGAGCAAACCCCACCACTTTGTTACTAGAGAAGGAGTGAAGATGGATGAGGGTCGGAGAGTGAAGATTTGCTGAGAGGCCGAGTTCGATTTCGTTCCAACCCAGTTCGTCAGTTTTGGTGCACACAAACGCATTCTTCTAATTTCCAAAAGGTCTTTCTTGGGTGGCGATAGAGATATGGGTCGAACCTCCAGCCTTCACAACTCTGCTCCGCCCGATTGTTAGTGACGGGAAGGCAACTGGGGTTTTAGAGACTGAAGGTCCGAGCTTAGGGGTGAAAAAGTCGAGCACTTCGAAAAAAATCTTCCATCCTGACTTCTTTTCTTCTTCCGGTATGCATATTGACCTTTGTTTTTTGGTGAGTTCCTAACAACTTAAACGGATGAATCTTCCCCTACGATTTTCACTTTGTTGAATTAATAACACCTTCCCTCTGTGAGCGTGTTTGCGCTCTTTCACTATTCTTGTTTGCGGGGAAATCACCTCTCGGAGGAAATCTCTCATCCAGGTCGTCTCCTCTGCTTTCAGGGATATTCTCGACCAACCACCCTTTCCTCTCTTAGTTAGCATTATAAAATCATCTTGTTTGATAGGTTTTGTGTTGAACTCAAAGGATTTTGAACCGATTGCTATTGACTTTCTCATCGTTGTAGTAATCTAGGACTTGTCGCAGGTTTCCGGTGTTAACAGACTCTGGTGTTGACAGTCTCCATGAACTATTGCAGGTTTCTGGTATTAACAGACTCCTCATGAACTATCAATTGCTTCTAAAATTTGGAACCCTTGCTCCCCTATTTTTTAACTCTCTTAGGAATCAGATGGGCTTGTTCTGATGAATTGATGATACACTAGGATGTCTTGAAGCTGAGATTATCCACCCACTAGAAACCTTGTATAAAAAGGACTTATGGGATATATTTTTGTTGGTGAGGCACTTTAGAAAGGAGGAACTCCATTTTTGTTTTTGGGGTGCACCTTAGTGTATTTTGTTCAGTATTATCATACTCAACTTTCACAGTTGTTTCTATGGAGTATGGGCCCCTTCTAAGGGGCTCATGAAAATGGGAAAGATGCCGCTAGGGATGGAGAAAGGGGCAGATGTCGGAGAGCCATTTCTAAATTATTAATTGTGCTGCTCCATAGGGTTCTCTTTGCATTGAGGTTGCTGCATTCTTGTGCTATTTGTGAGTTGGTTCTTTAAGCTAGCCCTTTTATTGGCTGAAGCAAGTTATTCTCTGTCATGGCATGAATTGGTAGTGGCGCTCTTTTTGATATTTGGGGGTTGGGTTGGTTTATTTTGTGTTTTCTTTTATTGATCTTTGCATTCCCTTTGGCCTTTTCTCCTTTTCTTTTTCTAACTTCTCTTTATTTTCCCTGTCTTCTATACATGTATTTTTATACCTACAGCAAAGAAAAGTTTAAGAGAACTAGTAACTCATCACAAATGACAAGCAGGAGTGCAGTGAAGAAAGCTCAAAGATACTTAGGTTTTAGGCCTAACACAGTAATCTAAGGAAAGAAACTCAGCTGTTGAAAACTAGAATGTTTAGCAAAAGAAATCAAATGTTCCATGGATTAAGTCACTCTGATTTCCTAAATCAAGTGCAATTCTTTTTCTAGTAAATTAAAATTTATTAAAAGGAAAAATGTACATGAGAGGTATATAGGCAAAGAACCCAGCCAAACAAACAAAAGAAATACCCCAAAAAGGGAGTGCAAACAAAAAAGAGCCAACCATAGTTTTTAAGGCGCCAAGATGAGGCTAGGCGACAGGGGGCGCCTTGTCGCCTAGTCGCCTAGGCGATGGATTTTTTTTCAAGTAAAACCATATATCCTAGGGTAGTTCCCTAGGTTCCATAACCATCTTAATAATTATCCATAATTTTCATAAGAGAAGGTGGAAGAAGAAGAAGATCTGTAAGAAGAAAATGTGTTGATTAGACAAAATTTTAAGTTTTTCCCTTGCTTATTGGTTCAGGTTCTGAAATCTTTGAGGATTCAATCAAGGATCAAAACTTTGATATGATATGCCCCGTATCGGGTGTATTGTATTGTATCTTTGGCGCCCCAATACACATGTTTATAGGTGTTTTTGGGAACCCATTTTTTAAAATAACATATATATATATATTTAAAAATGAAATTGAAAACCAAAGAAATAAAAAAATAGGGGAAGTATCGTTATAAGTACTGATACACCTCTGCCGATACACAGAGGTGTATTGATACTTTGAACCATGGGTTCAATACAGCAATTAGCAATGTTTGTGTTGATTAATTCCTAACTAATAAGAAAATAATAAAAAGAAATTAGTACATAAACACATAAAATGAGTATTCTAGTTTAATAATGCCTATTTTATAATTATAATGTAAAAAAATTAAAAATATAAAAGTATTTTATAACATAGTGCACAAAACTACTTGGCGACTGGGCAAGGCAAGCCTCCAAGGGCGCCTTGTCACCTAGGCGTCACCTAGGCACCCACCTAGGCATCGCCTTGACAACTATGGAGCCAACCTTAGACCAGGGAAAAAGGAAAAAAGAAAAAGGAAAAAGGAAAAAAACCAACCCTGCAAAGCCAACTCTATACAAAAGCTGTCATACAATGACAGCCTCAAGAGGCTCCAAATAAAATCACTAACCCAACAGAAGGGCAGAAGGGACAAAACCACCATAGCACACCATGACTGAAATTAGCCGGTGATACTTACCTTTTGTAGATTGTTCCCTACAAAGTTCTGAAGGAAAGGGGCCATGAACAAATGACCTCAAAGTCAACTAGGGTAAAACCCCACTAAAAAACATACACAGCTTCATCATATTTTAACCAAGGATACTTGAGGCTGGGTTGGCTATTGCCTGTGTTTGCTTGATTAAAGTCAAGACTGACTTTTGACTGAAGTCTAGCATTGTGTGTCCTGTTGCTGAATCCCCGGCTTCTGCTTATCTGATCTTACGAAATTTCAGATGTAAGTGGTATTGCATGGATACAGGCACAAGAGTAAGAATCCAATGGCTGTCCTTGAGTTTGTTTGACAATTTGAAAGCTTATGGACTTTGAAGCTGTGAAATGGAAAATTACTAGTAAAACATATGCCAGTATCCAACAACACCATCTGTTCCCAACTTGTGCATCATTTCATCTAGAAATCTCATTCCATGTGATGATATCAATTTTGCAAATGAATCCTAATCCACCATCTAGATTTTGCTTTTTATGGATTCATCATTCATGTAATGAATCTGTCTCAGCTTCTTTTAGCATTATGATTGATCATTAATTTTGCTTTGGTCTTTATGGATCATAGCCAATGTGTTTTCAATGATGTGATCTGTTTATCAGAGGATAGGCTGTCTATTGGTCTTGGTCTTGTAATGATATATTTGTTTTTCAATGTGCCAGGAAATGATTCGTCTGATGAGAGAAAAACGTTACCCAGCTGCTTTCAAGTGTTACTATAACTTCCACAAGTTAGACTCTTCGGATGATGACAACCTTCACTTTAAGATGGTTATCCATGTGCACAGTGATTCAGCTTTTCGACGATACCAGAAGGAGATGAGGTCTTTGTTAATTTACATTTTATTACATGATATGATAACCTATATTACCCATATCAATTACAATTTAAAAATTCCTTGTCTCTCCATGCTACTTAGTCTATCTCTATTTTCTGAATAAAGAAGAGCTTGGCATTTTCCAGGTATAAACCAGGATTGTGGCCATTGTATAGAGGTAAGATGCATTTCTTCTTGTAAAAGATTCAATTTATCTAGTTATTACTTAGAGTTTATTTTTCTAGCTTGATGACCTTGAAGCTTTTGTAAAAGATTCAATTTATCTAATTATTACTTAGAGTTTCAATTTATCTGTACAATGGGAATGTATAAAAATACATCTCTGAACCCTATACCATCACCCCCTTACTATTGACAAAAAAGATTTTGAATTCAAAAAATAAAAAGATTTGTAATCTCTTCCCATAAACTCTTTATATACCGCCACCCAAGAATGCATTTTTCCTGGTATCTTTAAATATACTGACTCGATTGAACTACTCTTCCTGAGAAAGACTATTATTCCTCTCTTGCCAGATTCTCCACAAAACTGTTGCTGGAACTGTGTTCCATATGTTCCTTCCTCTTTTGCCTAAACCTCTCAATCTCAAATATATTTTCTCATTATATGGTAGGATAAATATTCACACTTCAGAATAACATTGGGGAGAAGATTCCTCATCTCTGTCCTTAGTCATAGTTGAAAAACAGTCCTAGAAGTATGGGACTGTGCTAGAAAACCAGAAAAACTAACACGAGAAGATTAGAGAAGATTAGAGAAGGAGAGAGAGAGAGAGAGCTGCGGCAAGGAGAGTTAGAGGATGAGGAGTTCGAACTAATCCTCCCTCTAACACTCTAATACTCTTTTATTAAGTTAATCTTTGAGTAATTACAAGAGAGGTCCTTAGTTGGACAAGAAATTACAAAAA